AGTGAATGCTAACAAGGCAAAATTACATGCACTTATAGGTGAAAGTAGGTGCACCTATAGTTATAAGTAGTTGCACATATAGTTATAAATAGTTGCACATATAGTTATAAGCACACCCAGGTGCACGAATGTTTGCGGAAAGTGAATGCTAACAAGGCAAAATTACATGCACTTATAGGTGAAAGTAGTTGCACTTGTAAGTGATTTTACTTGCACTTCGATGTTCAATTATTTACGAAAATGCCACCGCGTTTTTTTTTAAAGTTATTAGATCTGGACACGTGTCGCGCACTGATTCGTTCGCATTTCCCTCCTGAGCACGTATTCGCACCTGAGTGCATCCCTATATATATATATATATATATATATATATATATATATATATATATATATATATATATATATATATATATATATATATATATATATATATATATATATATATATATATATATATATATATATATATATATATGTGTGTGTGTGTATATGTGTGTATATATTTTACACTTTTATATTTCTCTCAAACTAAGTCATTTCAACTAAAATTGAATATTTAAAATATTATTGAACATTAACACAATAACACCTTCTTACGTTTTTCTTTGGTATGATGTATGACCAAAGCTGCTACAATAGTACGTCTTGCAAAGTTCACGATATATGTTGCAACTTTTGACAGTAAAAGACCAAAATGACTAACCAGTAACCACGAATAATTGAAATTCTAGATATATATATTCTTACCTTAAATTTATAATAAAAATATTTTAATCTATAGTCGTCCACATTTGTAAATATTACTCCATCCCATTTTATGTGTTGGGTTCGATTAACGAGACTTGACTGAAGTTATTTACAATTTAATTTTTCATAATATTAAGTTCAATATTAGTATGTAAAATTTATATATTTAGAAATTACATTAAAAATATTATTAAATACAAAAAAAATCAAAATTAAAAATTATAAGAAAATATTAATAGAAATAAGCAAAGAAAAAAGAGTTAATTGACACATAAATAATAAATAAAACAGATAAATTGAGACAAATGAAGTATTTTCTTTTTCGAGTGCAAGGGAATATAGGGGAAAATTAAAAAGCTAATTACATTTTTGATTGGCAATCCAACGAGGTTAATGTAAATTAGCGACTTCACGCCTTCCCAATATAGTAAAAACTGTACATCCCAAAAAGGAAAATTTATGATGATTCACTATATAATAATATAATATCTACAAAAACTTATTGTTGAAATTTTTAGTTAAAATGACATATTAAGTGATTATTTTGTGATACAAATATATGTGGAATTCACATTGAATTTAGGTCAGGTCAATGTGAATTTGTGTTTCTTTAAGTGAGACAAGAAAATCGATATTTTGTACGCTCAAAATAGATAATAAGTTAATAAGAAATTGATTCTCAAAGTAAACACATATGAGTTAGAAAATAGAGATGGGATTGGAAGAAGCCTTTGTCCCACAATGAAAAAGGATGTGATATCTATGTGATAGTTTTATTGGGACCGAGTCCACCATAAACCAGGTACAGAGAATATAGAATGCAATAAAAGAACAATATTTTTATTACTGGGGCGTGAGGCCCAATTGGAATGCATACAAAGCCCAAAGGTCACAGGCTCAAAACAGCGGCCCCAAGAAAGACAAGAATAAATAACTAAATAATCAAAGGACTAGGAGATAAATATAATAGAATACTTTAATTACTGGGCGTGAGGCACAATTGGATGAGTACAAAGTCCAAAGGTCACAGGCCCAAAACAGAGGCCTCAAGAATAAATAACTAAATAATTAAAGGACTAGGGGATAAATATAATAGAATAAGGAATTGAAGGACTAGCAAATAAATAACCAAAGGACAGGTAAATAAATAGAGTAAAATAACCTGATAATGTTACCAAGTAAACTCAAACCCAAGCATGCCAACAAGGAGAGGAGACCAGACCACTGGACCAAAAGTGTAGATGGTGTCTAAAGGATACCTTTACTTGGACTAGAGCACCCCCCCCCCCCCCCCCCCCCCCCCCCCCCTTTATACTGCTAGTGGACCCTCCTGCACCCTCCATGCGTACGACAGCCAAGGGGTCTCAACTTCTGCCAGACACGCGTCCCACGTCACCTTGTCGTGCACCCACCTTGACTCTCCAACCAGCCGCCACCACACAACTGACGCAAGGGCCAGGGTGCGACAAGCGGCCGTACCCGAGGGGGTGTGGCGCACCTGCCGCGCTCACATGCAACCGCCCACCCCGGGTGGCGACACGGATAGCTGCCACCCAAGGCGCCCCGCCCACCGGCACCCCCCGCGGCGGCTAGTGCATGCCTCTCCCGGCTCTGCTTTGCACCGTTCTCTTCTCGGCATTGCACTCTTTGGCCTTGCACCAACCATCGTCCTGCTTTGCACCCTTTTTCCTCTGGGCCTTACTAAAAAATAAAAGATAGGCCAACTTCCTTATAACCGGAGCGTTATGTTGTGCAACCATGTACACCATGCAAGGTGCACACAGTTTCAATTCCTAATTTTTATACTATAGATTCATAATTTATATACTATAGATTTATAATTTATATACTGTAGATTCATAAAATATATACTGTAGATTCATAATTTCTAAACCGTAAATTCATAATTTAAATACAGTAGATTCATAATTTCTATATAGTAGATTCATAATTTCTATACTTCCGATCCATAATATCTGTACTGTAGATTCATAATTTTTGTACTGTAGATTCATAATTTCTAAACTGTATAGTTATCAAATTATGAACATATAGTTCTGTGATTTGTGAATACAGAGTTCAACAATTGGGAATATGAACATTGAAAATTATGAACATAGAGTTCGGTAATTATGGATATAGAGTTCAATAATTATGAATATGAAGTTCAAAATTATGAATATATAGTTTTATAATTATGAACATATAGTTTAGTAATTATGAAATATGAACATAGAACATTGTGTACCATGCATGGTGCACACGGTTGCACAGCATAATTTGCCCTTATAACCCCATCATAACCCCATCACTATGCAATATCTTTTTAGAAGAACCTTGAATTGTATAACATAAAAGTCTCTCTCGCGCGCAAGAGGGAGAGGTGCAAATCAAATATTAGAATGAGTCTTTCTCGAGAATTTATTTTTTGTTTGAACGCTACGATCTCTCTCATCTCTTATATATACTATAGTGTTGGGCAGAAAATTTAAGCCCGTTTACTAACCGAAAACTGTTTTCTATTTTCTAATTTTTCAGTTTTCATTCTCTGTTTTCTATTTAGAAAACTTGTTTACTAACACATATTTTTTCAAATTTATTTTTTAGATTAACGTTATAAAATTAACAGAAGTTTAATTTCGAATGATTTTTTGATCTTATATTTAAAATTATATTATGTGTTTGGTTTAAATGGATTTTTTTAACTTTTAAGTCTAATATATGTAAGATTTTTACATTTGATATGTGAACCAAAATATGTATATAACATAATAACTAAAATATATATTCGAACTAATAACCTACTAAGTTCACCTAAAATTTATTTTAAATAATATTAATATTTTTGAGCTAATATTTAAGATGTTTTTGGGTATATTCATTTCAATGACATGTATATAAATATATAATTTTTACTTTGAATTCTAATATATATGAGATTTCAATATCTTATATCCGAACCAAACTTGTACCCGATATAACATAGCTAAAAATATCTGAACTAATAATCTATTGAGTTAAATCAAAATCTAAAACATTGAATATAGTTCAAATCTTAATTTAGATAATGTGAATAATGTCTAACTTTAAAGTTTAAGTAAATAAGTTATATTTAAATAAGTAAAGTAAGTAGAAAAGATATAAAATGGTGATAAGTAAAAGAATATGATAATGAATGTAATCATAGTAATGTGGTTATAGTGACATATAATCAAATAGATGATGATGGTTCTGTTTTCCTTTAAGAAAACAATTTTGAAGAGTGTTCCAATTTTTTAAAAAATTGAAAAATTATTTTCAATTTTCAAAATGGAAAACTATGCTAGTAAGTTTTCTATTTTATAATTCTCCAGTTTTTCAGAAAATTAGAGAAAATTTCCAATTAATAAGGGGGTTCTAAGGATTTGAAAATTTGTTCCTAGCAATGTCCTAAAAAATATTGTGTTCACCTTGTTAGTTCATGTTCGCTAAGAGTACTATAGTTTGAGTGTTCAAATTATAGTACCGTGTTCCATTTTATTTTGGAAGATTGACGCTACAACGCTCCTAGCACTTGAATTTTCCTTAATTTCGTTCTCTTATGCTTTGGGATTATTTTCTAAAATTATAAATTCCGTTATTTTTTTTTATTGAAAAATTGACTTATTCACTACCATCTTAAAACTGATTTTTTTGAATAAATCGATGGCTTCCACTGAAGGTGGAAACTTGAATGTTGTTCGCGGTGCACGTTTGAATACCAGTACTTCGGCAATATAAAAATGATCCTCTCAGTTCCATTTTGCCTGTCATTTTTAATTTACTGTTTATTGGAAATCAATTCTTTTTAAATATTTATTTTCTTTAGTAATTTTTTATTATTTTTAAATTTACTTTTTTCTGTTTAATAGTATTTTTAATGTAATTTCTAAATATATTAATTTTATATACTAATATTACATATATAAATTTTATATACTAATATTAAATGAAAAATTGAATTAAAAATAACTTTAGTCAAACCTGGAATCAGACAAACAAAATAAGACCGGAGCCTGGAGGAGTACTAATACTAAAGAAAATAGGCAATGGAAAAAGAGTTGGTTTGATTAGAATATTAAAAATATTCAATTTTTGTTATTGTATATTTATATCAAAATATTAAATTTCTGAGGTTGAAATTGAATGCCAATTTATTTTTACTCGGTTTATATATGATTTTGTGGACCCGGCAGCCTACACGAAGTGGCCAGTATTTTCCTTACGCTGTACACGTCTAGTCCCCGTTTTCGAATTTTTCAAGCGCAAAGAAAAGCCAGAGAGAGAACCTAAAATCAAAAAAAAATTCTTGAATCTACAGAGAGGGAAGGGGGAGACAAAACCCACGACTCCTTGCCAGTAGAATAATCAAAATCTAGCGTAAAGAATCAATCTTGAAGCTCAGGCATCATGCCTTCAGGTGCTAAGAAGCGAAAAGCTGCCAAGAAAAAGAAGGGATTGCAAGTTCAAGGGGCGCCCCACCTACCCAACTCTACGCTTCTTCACTCCAATGGTACTCTACTGTGCTCTACGCTCTTTGTAGTTAAGTACAATGGCACATGTGGGTGTCTCGATGTGTAAAGACTTGCTTTTTATGGGTTTTGAGACTGTTGAGACCAGACCCATATGGGTTTGGATTCAATCATTTTCTTTTGTTGAAGGCCTTTACAGTTTGTCTGTCCCTCAGAGTTTGGCTTTGTGGGTATCCCTTGTTTTCTCTTATTTGGATTCGATTTAGCGTCGTTTTCTGAAAGGTCTAATTTGTGGTTGCCCCATCTGACCCCCAATTAAGTTTTAAAAGTAGCTATGGGTTGTACCACTTCTTTTTTATAATTTATTTTTCTACATTCATCTCTGTGTGGTTTTTCTTGACTGGAAATTATGGTTTTGCTGGAAAATAGGAGTTGTTTAGTTAATCTTGTTGCATTTTGATGTCATAAGTTTTCAATTGATTGGTGTGTGTCTTTGGTTTGATTTTGATTTGAAGTGGATGTTGCTTGGTTAATGATTTTTGGTTCTTTTTGATTGATTCTGTGTTGAATTGCTCTCGGCGGATCAAACTATGGCAGGGGAAGAGGATTTGGAGCATCACAATGACAAGGACAGTGATGGAGGGGATGTTAGTTCCCCTGCATCTCAAGATAACCATAACTTCCATGAATTAATCGATCGGGAGGAGGAAGAGGTTGACAAGAAGGAGGATGGTTCACTTGATCAGTCATCAATTCACGAGCACAAATCTGATGAGATGACAAATGGAGGTGGAGAAACGGAGAAGGGAAGTATGGAAGAGGAGAGTGGTCTTCACGTTGAAGAGGTTGATAAGCAGGAGGATGGGTCGCTTGATCAGTCATCAATTCACGAGCACAAATCTGACGGGATGACAAATGGAGGTGAAGAAACGGAGAAAGGAACTATAGAAGTGGAGAGTGCCCTTCACCTCGAAAGGGAATTCAAGGTCGAGGATATAAGCATTGAGTGCACTGAAGCCCCAAAAGAATCTCTTGAAGGAGGCTTATTCAGGAACTTGAGTAGCAGCAGCGACTCAGAAGATGGATCCACTGCTGCCCATAAGACTAAAATTGTCGTAGATGACACTCCTGCTGTTGATTTAGTGAAAGAAGTTGATTCTTTATCTGCTGGTAAAGTCAATGATGCAATGTCTGAAAACAAAGTACAAGTTGAAAAGTGTGATTTTGATGGATCGGGATTGAAGGAAAACGAGGATAAAAAAATGGGCGTAGTTGAGGAGAATGCTTCTGTATCAGAAGGTGTAGTGAAAATGGACTTGGTGAAAATGGAGGATGAAGCACACTTTGCGATTCAAGTAAATGGAGAGAAAGTAACTCAGTTACACGATGTTCCCAAAGTTTGTGCTAGTATTGGAGACGAGGGAGTAGGGGAAAAAGTGGGTGAAGCTATTCAGATATCCCGTGATATTGATGTGAAAGCATCAGAACCAAGGGACTTTGCTACTATGGAAAAGAGCGATACGCTTACTCTATCTTACAATGCCCCCATAAGCATTGGAGATGATCCTGTTAAAGATTCTGAGCTTTCTGAGTGCTCTTATAATCAGGTCCTTTATATTTCAAATCGTTTCGTGATTAACTTTTTCCTAAGGTTGCTCTAATTTGCACATAGAACTGGTAGAAGTTTATGTTTTACTTTATATATTTGGTAAAGTTTCTTTCTTTTCGAAACTCTGCAGCATCAAGCTGGTTCAGCTCTACGACCAGTGCAAACAACATCTTTGAAGGGTTGCTGTGGCCTGTTTGAGTTGTTCACTGGATCCAATAGATAACTTCAGGTTAGAGTTGCCTATATTTATGAAAATTGTATTATTTTTCCTACATGTCAAAGATGAGATAAGAAAGAGTTCGGGTCTAAAGCCTCTTTTGCAATTTGAAAGATATTATTCCTTTTATTTTATTTGTTTTCTTGTTATTTGAATATGCTTGCTTTTTCCCGTTAAAATTACCTAATAGTTGCTTACTTGTGTAAGTTCTTCACTTTACTTTTGCAATTTAACCTGTTGGTTCATGAGGTATTCCATCTTCTAGTTCTATTATTATGACAAGAAGACTGGAAACAACAAAAAAAGATTCTGTTTAGAAAACTTGTTTCCTAACACTCGTTTTTTAAAATTTATTTTTTTTAGACTAAGGTTATAAAATTAACAAAAGTTTAATTTCAAGTGATTTTTAGACCTTATATGTAAAATATTTTTGGATATGTTTGGTTTAAATGGAATAGATATAATTTTTACTTTTAAGTCTAATATATGTAAGATTTTTACATTTCATAAATGAACCAAATTTATATCTGCATATTACATAACTAAAAATATGTATGTGTGTGTGTCCGCAAACTAAATTTATATCCGTATACACTGAACTAATGATCTATTGAGTTCAATCAAAATCTAAAACTTGGTGTAGCGTTCAAGTTTTAACGCTGAGAATGTGGTTATAGTGATATATAGCCAAATAGATGACAAAGATTTTGTTTTCCATTTAGAAAACAGTTTTTAAAAGTTCTCCAGTTTTTAAAATGGTATAATGTGCTGGTAAACATGTGTTTTCTATTTTCTATTTTCAAATTCTCCAGTTAGTAAACATGCCCCAGATGTTCTACTCATAATTATCTCACACTCCTATGGATATCTTGGGATTTTGTTTTTGCTTAGAATATCAACTTTATGACTGTCTTTATGAACTTTCTGCTTCCACGCCACATATTTTCGTTTGTGTTAATGCATCAAGATTCAAGAGCCTACGAATCTTTAATTTGTAATGCAGGAGAGCATGGAACGAGCTGAGTATATGTGCCAGAGAAGCATGCAGGGATTTGATGGTTCGTGATTCTTGTTGTTAATGTCTAGAATACTCGTGGAAGAATAAATAGTAAGGCAATGTGTTATAGAAACTATTATAGCCAGTTTAAGTAATGTTACAGTGTTATTTTCTTGAAAAGCAGCTTGGAACTACTTGCTTCTGTGCTGCTTTCTAGGTATTTTGCAGCCAGTTAGCTTTCGATTAAGAATTTCGTGTTTATTGGTGTGATGTATCTACATGGAGTGAATTTTTTGGTTGTTTGGAAGCTTGAAGTTGTAAACTTTTCTGTGTTTTTTGAATATAACCTTAGTACCATTATTAGAAGAATGCTGAATCACTCAGAATTTCTTGGTTTCTGTCACACCTTGTTGTTGCATTATTGGTGAGCTATGGCTACCAAAAAATTGTTGACACATGTATTCAATGGTGGTCTATACATTGAATGCACAATGACCCAAATAAGTTTGGTTACATTCTTGATTACAAGTTTGACTTTCAGCAGGAGTAGTTTATCGACCTTCTTGGTTTGAATCTGTCAGCTATGGATAACTTAAGCTGTTTTATGTCCTTGTTGTTCTTTGACAGCTAGATCATAAGATGATGTTTACTCATTGCACACTTTTGGGCAGTGTCTCACAAAATTACAAGTTTGACTCTCAACGGATGTAGTCTATTACCCTTTTTAGTTTGAGCCGACCAGCTATAGACAATTTAGACTGATTCTCACAAGGCAGAATTTACTCAATACAAATCATTGGAGCTTTAAGATGAATTGTTCATTTGCTGCTTCACAAAACAAGGTCAAAAGGCTCTATCAAGAAGCCCTGATCATCAAAGCATCCAAAAGAAAGGAACAAAAAGCAAAACATGGATTTAGCCTTAACATAGGCAAACATGGCAGCTGCTAATGTTCTTGCTCTGGTTGGTAGAAACAGTACATGTAATGCTGTCAAATTTATCCCTCAAGACTTGAGGTTGCACTCATCAACCTTCTCCCAGGACTTGAGGCTTTTGTCTTCTGTGTCGGTTTTGTACAGAACGAGGCGAGTTATGGGGAAGCTCAAGCTGCCAATGCTCTCATCGATAGCATAAGCTTTTTCTTGAGCTCTCTTTTTCTCCTCATCCGTGATATCGGCATAGAGGATGCTCAAGTGTGGCATGTATGCTGCAACGAGATCAGAAAGAAGCGGCGCCAAATCAAGCTAAGTCGTTTAGATCATAATATAGTCGCAAAGTAAATAGTACCGGAGAGAGGAGGGAGGGAGAATGGATGTGGCAAACGCGATATCGCATAAAGGGGTCCTTAAACTAATAATGTTGTCTTACCTGATGGTCTCTCATAACCAAAGTGTTTGCAGCAGTGATCACTAGTCTCAACAACCTGAAAGGCACAACTATAAAGCCTTAAACTCTAGAAAATCATTCAAAAATGAATATGGTTCCAATTAAAAGACTCATGCTTGGCCATATCAATGGCCCAGATTGAGTGAGCAAATGTGATGAGCCAACTCAATTGGTCTAGCCTTCAACTTGAGGCATCTGCTAATCATTTATGCTAGCTATTCTTAATCAAAATATAACTCATTCTTGCAATAGGGGGTCAAGATAGTCTAAAATTAAACACCCCTTTTGATAGTTATTACCTAGAAACATGTTTTCCCTTCTTGCAATTTGATATAATTGAGTAGAAGGTTGGGAAAATCTAGTTTTATGTACGGGAAAACTCCACCTTGCGACCCTAACCGCCAAATCTGCCTATAAGTTAGCTCATAACTGCTCAAACCAGGAAAGCTAATAAACCGCTCAGGCTGAGAATCAAACTTGTAATTCTCTATGGTTATCAAGTCGAACAATTTGACCAAAATGACTAGGATTGCCCCTTGGCATAGGCCTTTTGTTCTATATGCCTCATGATCAATTCTTGGTAACATCACAAGATCAGCCCTTGAGGCAAAAGACATACAGAAGGTTCACTCAAGAAATCCAGCCAATTTCATGGATTTAAAAGCACTAAGATTTGGAAATGAAAATGAACAAGAAACCAATTATTTTTTTTTGGGTCAAACAAGAAAAACAATGTAATATAATTTACCTGAGTGGTGGGATCAAGAAGAAGAAAAACACACTGGTAAAAGAATGTCCCAGTGTCCACCTTCGAAACCGTAGCGCCGTACGTCTTGAGGCCCTCACAGGCCTTCCGGAACTTGTCACGTGCCTCGCTCTCCGTCAGGCTGATAGCTCCGACGACGGTCACGTGCGGCTCGAACTGGGGCCCGCCGAACTCCGATCGGAGACCCTCCATGAGCTTCTTGACCCTCGCCGTCACGTCCTCCGGCGGAACGCCCCACACGGAGTACACATCCTTCTTGCCCTCTTGCGCCGCCATGGAAGTTTCAGAAGAGGGAGAAGTTCTGAAGATTATTGGGAATTTAGTGGGTTTTGCAGGACGATGATTTTGGTGGAGTGTTCTGATCGAAAGGGGAAGAATTTTTTGGGGAAGGAGACATGGCATCTGGAATATGCTGATGGAATATCGCCGGGAAATATTGGAGAGTCAATTCGATCAAATTAAAAATTAAAGATTAAATTGACAATTATAAAATAATTAAGGGACCAAAACAGTGATTTTTCCGATAAATAAATATTATATAGAACAACAAAACCGGCAATCCTTCAAAATCTAGTAGACAAGACGACGATGATGGGATGTAATACTAAAATACTAATACTAGGATAATGCATCAAGGGAAAGGCGAATGTTTCTTCATTTCAACTTGCTCCACGTCGACGGCGAAGCCTTTTCCGGTCGTCACCCAGTAGTCGGCGTTGGGGTTTATATTTTCCGGGACCAAAACATCCACCCTGCTTTTCCCGAGCTCCTCCGACGAGATCTTGTATTTCTCGTCTCTCTTTCTGATCAGCTCCGGCTTCACCGAGCCCATTCCCTCGCTCACCCCTTGCGGCGACACCATCAACGCCGGCGCCCCCAGCGGGAGCCTGTCACCTCTGTCCACTTGCCATGTGCACCAGAACTTGCCGTACGTCGGAGAAAGGTGTTGCAGTTCTTGTTTTTGCACCATTTCTGGCACTCTTGGGTTCACCCAAAGCCCGGAGATTATCTGTCCACCAAACCAATATCAGATTATATATACTTAAAAAATATATATATTGAACATATAATATATTATAATAGGGCAAATTATGCTCTGGACCCGTGTCCACATTGAATTGTGGACACGGGCCCAAAACGACGTCGTTTTTCAAAAAAAACGCATCATTTAGTTAAAAAAAAAAAATTCGCGCGTGTTTTGCCGTTAACGGTGTTATTTTTTTTTTTTGATTATGAATGTACAGTTATGCCGTTATGAATGTACAGTTATGCAATTATGAAATTATGAACACAGAGCTCTAACATTATGAACATATATAGTGATAAAATTATGACCATGGAGCTTTAAAATTGTGAATATAGAGCTTCGAAGATTATGAATGTACAGTTATAGAGTTATGAATCTACAGTTATGGAGTTATGAATCTACAGTTATGAGATTATGAATCTACAGTTATGGAATTATGAATGTACAGTTATTGATCGAATTATGAACAAAGAGCTCTAACATTATGAACTTACAATTATGAACATATAGTGATAAAATTATGAACATAGAGCTCTAAAATTGTGAACATAGAGCTTCGAAAATTATGAATGTACAATTATGGAGTTATGAATGTACAGTTATGAAGTTATGAATGTACAGTTATAGAGTTATGAATGTACAATTATAAAGTTATGAACGTACAGTTATGGAGTTATGAATGTATAGTTATTAACATATAGTAATAAAATTATGAACATATACTTCTATAATAAAGTGATCTGAAATAAAAAAAAAAAAAAAAAAAAAAAAAAAAAAAAAGAGATAACAGTGTCGAGGCACTGTTACCCGTGTCCAGCAAGCATGTTGGACACGGGTCCAAGGCATAACGATTGTTGTAATAGAGGAGTTCATAATACTAAAAAAAAAAAAAAAAATTTTGATCCTGTGACTATTAGGGTCCTATTAATTTCAGTCCACGACCTTCAAAAGTATTAATTTAATACATTTAGTACATTGACTCTACAATTTTTATCAATTTTAATCACACCACCAAATTTCACCTGAAAAAATTGTCTTTGCTTAATTCAGACCATAATTAAAAAGACTAATTTGCCCATTAGATTAAACACTAATTGGTTAATTAAGTTTTTCTGGTGAAATTTGGCCAACAATTTTATCAGAATGATCAAAATTAATAAAAATTGCATAGTCAAGGTACTAAATTAACACTTTTGAAAGTCGTAAACTACAATTAACAGGACCCCAATAACCAGGACTAAAATTGAAATTTAGTCCTAAAAAAAATATAAAATATATGTTGTTTTTCTAATAATGAAGAAATTAAAACCTCATAGGCATGGGAGTGCCAAAGTTTCTGCTCTTCAGGCGGGAGGGTATCAAAGATCTTATCCGAGACTATGTATTCAACGCCTGTACAAATAAAATAAAAAATAAAAAATCATAATCAAACGCCGGGACTGATGTCGCCGGAATTTTTGAGTTGTTATTATATATACCAATAAGACGGGCGTTAGAAGCGTCGGAATCGTAGACGGCGCACTGGAGGAAGTCCTGGTTAAGGCGAGCGGCGTAGTGGTGAGTTTCGATCTGGCGGCTCAAGTCATGGCTGTAGAGAGCGAAGGTGCAGACGTGTTGCCCCATCTGCTTAATGGGTTTCAGCGACTGCAACATCTGAGTTCCCTTGTCCACCGCCTGCTGCGCCAACGACATTGCCTTCCCTGGCGGCACTGACCCGTCTTCCGGCGGCATTTGTCCCGGCGTTTCATCGCTCGACGCCATTTCCTTACAATAATTGATCCAATTGCAGTAGTTGTATCTATCTATCTATGTGTGTAACTAACACGGTGATGGAGAAGATGATAAATATAGAGATGCAGGCGGTAGGGATAGCGGTGGTCCGGTGGAGGGTGCTACGTGGGGGATTCTTGAGAGGCCACTTAGCGTTGTGGAGCTAAGAAGCTGGCATCTATAGCTCATGGGAAACACGGCTTTATCAAGTTTTGGGTCCTCCAAAATTACATCTATATTTTTGAAAGCAACCAAAATAGCATATAGGAATTAGAGATAAGCTGAAATAGAATAAGGTGGGATAATATGTCAATACATAAAAAGTGAATTAATTTCACTTTTGGTCCCACGACTTTTGATGTTCTATCACTTTTGGTGCACAACTTTAAATTTTTTTAATTTTGGTGCCTAACTTTGTTACTTTTATCAGTTTTGGTCCTTCCAGCCAAATTGACGGTAAAATATTTCTGAATTTTATATTTTAGGGGCACAATCGTCATCCCATGGAAAGATCTTCAATATTTAAACAAAAGAAAAACCATATTAAGAGGAAAAAAAGAGTTTGCCAATGGTCGAAACTATAAATCCCATAGATCTGTCTGGTTTCTGCCCGTCTTCCACATTATTCTCATCATCAAACACATATAGATATGATTTTACAGGATGATTTTGTTTAGATATTGAAGATGTTGCCTTGGGATGATGATTTTACGCCTAACAATATAAAATCCAGCAACATTTCGCTGTCAAATTCGCCAAAAGGACCAAAACTGATAAAAATAACAAAGTTAGGCACTAAAATTAAAAAAATTTAAAGTTGTGCACCAAAAGTGATAGAACATCAAAAGTCGTGGGACCAAAAGTGAAATTAATTCCATAAAAAGTTGTAGATGCTAAAGTATGAGCTATTAAATTATTTGATTTAGGAATGAATTTAATAAAACAGCAACAAAAATAAGTAATAAAAGACTTACAACTATTTATGGCATAGCCAACATACAAGCGAACTGGTCCAGTGGTGGAAGACAAATAATGCTAAAAAGTTAGGCAATCCGTGTATAGATGAATAAACCGCTCTCCACGATTTTTGAGTCATGATAAAGCTTCCTTGCACGCATAAGCCGGCGAGAAGTAATCGGGAAGGATAGTGTTGAACGCGACAAGATATCCTCCATTCTCGTAAAATTACATCTATATATGTAGAGCTGTCAAAACGGGCTCAACCCGTCGGGTTGGGCCCGTTTAACCCGTATTTTACACAGGCTGGGTTGGAGGATTTCCAGCCCGTCCCGTGTAACCCGTGGGGGTACGGGTTATACGAGTTGGCCCGTGGGTTACCCCATTCCCAAATGTGTTGTATAATTGAGTATTTTATTAATATTTAAAAACATTGTTACTAACAAGATTTGAACCCTTGACCTTTACTTAAATTATCAAATTATTATTATTGAAACCAATTACGCTAAGAACACATGTTAAATATTTTAATATAATTATATATCTATTTACATCATTCACAAGCATTACTAAATATATATCTATATTAATTAATACAATTAATTGTATCGTTATATAAATATTAATTTAAAGTTTATTTATTATATAAACTACATAAAGTAATAAATTATATATTTTATAAACTTTATAACTTAATAGTATATATTATAATTACAAATAAAAAATATTACATGTAAAATATATTAGTATTAAATATAAATTAAATAAATTATAATTACATATTAAAAACTAAAATCTAATTTTATATGTGTATATACATATTTGTATATATATAAATATACATATTTGTTTTCCATGATTAATGTGGTTGATTAGAAAATTAGAAATAGTCTTGGTTACTAACTTAGAGATCATGGGTTCAATTCCTAAAAAGAATAAACGAGTTGGCCCGTTTAGCCTGTCAGCCCGTCCTACACGGGTTGGGTTGAAAAAATCCCAACCCGTGGAAAAATGGGTCAGCCCGTCCCTTCCTGTTTCTAGTTAAATCCGAGACGGGCTGGCCCGTTTTGACAGCTATATATATATATATATATATATATATATATATATATATATATATATATATATATATATATATATATGTTCTCCAATTTTTATTTTTAATATAGTAATTTAAATCCTTTTATAATGAAAAATCAATAATATAATACTCTGAGGGTGCGGTACATTGATTGTCATGAAGACGTTCATTCGGTCCTCTTTGAAAATTAAATGAGGACCCGCCTTCATTTGATTTGGCTTGAAGAAATTGAAAATTGATCAAAAGGAAATGGAAATGAAAATGCAAATGATGAAAAAGGAAAAAAGAATATAAAAAGGAAAAGGAAAAAGAAAATAGGAAACGAAAAAAGAAAAACAAAAAGTAAAAAGAGAAAATGAGAAAGAGAGTTAGTATTATTGGTAGTATTGTAAAAATTTCGCCTAGGTACTGATTAATTGGTGATTAGGCGTTAGGCGCTTGTCGCCCACCTATCGTATCATCATAATCGACAGTCTGGTTAAGCGGCTGCTTAAGCGCTGACCACCTAGGCCTCCTAGGCGTCGACTGACCTAGTCAGCCGATTAGCTATTCTTTCCTTTTTTTTTTCTTTTTTTTTTTTTTAAATAAGTTATTTCACTCAAAATCACATCGATTTAAGCGAAATAACTCTAAATTGTTCAAACTCTAGATGTTTTTAGGTTAGTATTTAATATTTTAGTATTAACTATTAAAATATTAAATAGTTTATAATATTATCAAGTCTTAAAAAATAAAAAATACGTGGGCTCCTAAGCACCGATTAATCGCCACCTAAGTGCTAAGTGCCACCTGAGCATCTAACGATTTTTTCAACCATGATTACTGATTTCTTGTTTTGGAAGTAAAGATGGCTTGGCTTTGTGTCACAAGAGGTACCCTAGTCCGGGCTAAATCCAGGCTAAATGGCGACTGAGCAAGATTTATCAAATCTGTTGACTTAGTCAAGCTTGTTGTTGGACAATAGTAGGTAGTTGAACCGTACCCCTTCTAGGTTCCGGGTGGAGTTGGAGTTATGGGGGTGCTTTAATTTTCGTGTCTCATATTTAGTGCTTTAATTCATCTATTCTTTCATTCATTATCATTTATTCATTGATTCCTTTATTTATTTGAGGTGTGTTGCATGCTTCATTTCAACTCATTTTAGCCTTTTGAGGTACGTATGGTCTGTGTGGTTTTTTTAGTTTGGCACTAGTGGGCTTCTCTTTGAATAGGTCATGTCTTAACGTGAGTGTTTTCAAAAGAAGTTGTACCGTGATTCGATTGTTAGTGTGACCATGCTTGTTGCTGGCTTATAGTAACTAATCCTGTTAAGTTACAGGTTACTATGTTCGGTTGTTACTGGTTATGACACTTCTCATTTGGTAGTCTGCATGCCATGTTGGCACCTAAAAAATCAATCCAATCCAAAAACCTATTGACCAGGCTTATTGTTTTTTTTTTTTTTTTTATCTTTTCATTTTCTCATTCCCTCTTCTCTCTCCTAGTTGGCACCTTGATAAAAAATCAATCCAAAAATCACACTATTGAGGATGCCCTTATAGTTGATTGACTCAAATTTAGATCCAAGACCAATATAATAGTCAACTCTTTTAACAAGTTGAACTTGAAACTTTGTGGTTATCAAACCAACCGTTTAGGGTTACTCCTTACTAAAACCATGGTACTATACAATTTGGTTAGTAAAAAAAAGGGAAAATTGCATTTTACATCTCTAAATTATATTATAGGATACTTGTAGGATTCGTCTCTACTTGTTGGTTGTTCTAACTTTTCGTCCCTAAATTATAATTAACGTGACATCGCCCCTTTACTAACAAAATATTAGGAATGAAATTTGCAACGTTAGTATAGTTTAGGGATAAAAAGTGAGCACAACCGCTATTAAAGGGCGAAATTCGAACATCACTTATAGCTAAGAGGCAAGAAGTGAGCACGACCAATAAATAAGAAATAATTCTACAATTACCCTATAATTTAAGGACAAAAAAAAATATAATTTTTTCTTAAAAAATAACAATACATTTACAACTCATTTAAGTATTAAAGAACCATATTTGGGAATAATCATACTAAGTTCGTCAGATTATTGTGACTTTGTAACCACAAGGTTTTGAATTTGATTCCAAAAGGAAGAAAAACAGAGCTAAATTTATTAAAAAAAAAAAGAACTAATTTCACTTTTGGTCCCATGACTTTAGAGGTTCTATCATTTTTGGTGCACAAGTTTAAATTTTTTCAATTTTGGTGTCTAACTTTGTTATTTTTATCAGTTTTGATCATTTCGACCAAATTGACTGTGAAATATTGTCGGATTTTACATTTTAGGGGCAAAATCGTCATCCCAAAGAAAGATCTTCAATATCTAAACAAAAGAAAAATCATATTAAGAGAAATATAAGAGTTTGCCAATCGTCGATGCTATAAATCTCATAGATTTGTGTCTAGTTTCTGTCCGTCTTCCCAATTATTCTCCATCGATCAAACACTTATAGATATGATTTGAGAGTGATTTTGTTTAGATATTGAAGATGTTTCCTTGGGATGACGATTTTACCCCTAAAAATATAAAATCCAACAACATTTCGTCGTCAATTTGGTTGAAAGGACCAAAATTGATAAAAATAACAAAGTTAGACACCAAAATTGAAAACTTTTAAAGTTGTGCACCAAAAGTGATAGATCCTCTAAAGTCGTGGGACCAAAAGTGAAATTAATTCAAAAAAAAATTAAAAACCAGAAACAAAATCTATAACTCAAGATTAACGAAAGAACAAAAAGTGATTACCCTGCAATAATAACTACATTTGGCATTTAGGAATTAAGGAAACAGAACCACAAACTTTAGTTATAATTTGTGTGCCACCCTGCATTCTTAATCACTTCTAGCTATTATTAATCCTTCAATTCCTGCATTTCACCATCACCCTCATCATCATCCTCCGGGCGCACCTTTTGCTGCCTGTACTTGTACCTCGCAGCAACCACCAGATAAACCAAGAAATTCACGAAGCTCATGGCG